CTCCTCTTCCTCCTCCTCCTCCTCCCACTCACCTTCTACTGCTTTTCAACATAATGATAACGTGCTGGTGAGAAGACACTACCGTTATCTACCTCTTATCAGAGTACTGCCGATACCCATCCCCCCTCCCTCTCAAAACCCCAGCCCCATTCTTAGCCGCACTGCTGCGAGCACGTACGATTACCATCTTCTCTTCACGCGACGGGGTGAGAGAAGGAGGGAGAGAAGGAGAGGAAATAATAAAACCTTCATCCTGTCCCGTGTCACCCAGTTTCAGAAGAACCTTGAAGGGAGGAAGGGGGTCCTGCAGAACCGAATGGGGGCCAGCATATGAAGAAGGCATTCACCGCACCTAGCCCTATGACGATCGAATTCGAGCTTCCGATATCACCAACGCGGAGACCACACACACGCACACGCACACACATCTTCACCATACTATGGCTTCTGCTGCACAGAACACCGTGAGACGGTCAGTCAAGACTTGTACTGAATGCAGACAATCAAAGGTATGGACTAAAAAAAAAAAAAAGAGAGAGAAGAAAGAAGAAAGAAAGAGGGAGAGAGGGAAGAAGAAGAAGAAAAAGACGTACAGCGCATTGTAGACGGGACATGGAGAAGGAGAGATGCTAAAAATCAAGCAACTATACTAGCTCAAATGCGATTCAAGAGATCGATTTCCTAGCCCATGTTCGAGATGTGAGGCCAAGCAACTCTTTTGCAATGTCGATGCATCGTTTAGAAGGACACCGGCGAAAAAGTAGGAAACTCCCTCCCCCTCCCCCCCTTCTCTCTCTCTCTCTCCCCCTTTCTGTCTCGCATGTTTAGTATTTGTGTGTGTGTGTGTGCAACTTCTTTTGCTGACACTTGAAAATTGCAATCAGACGCTTCGAGGCAATGGCTAGAGAACTCCAGGAGCTCAGGAGTCGCAGAGATTGGGATGGAAGCCATCACCATGATTCCGGGACGGATACCGGTCCCGTGGGATCTGCCTCCTCGGACGACCATACTGTCGCCGAGGATGGCGAGGACGACTTCTACTTCACCGCGTCCGTCGTCTCGCTCGGCGAGGTCTTTATCGAGCCGCAGATGGCAGTCGACCTGTTCAAAACGTACCTACCCTCTCTCTCTCTCTCTCTCTCTCTCTCTCTCTCTCTCTCCATGAGACGGACTAGCCTCGCTCACACTTCTCTCACGCTCACTCCCCAAGTTTCACTCGATTATTCCGTCCACAATTGCCCATCTTGGGCCCCCTGGCCATGGACAGGATGTACGAGTCGTATCCGTTTCTGTTCTGGACAATCGTCATCGTCGTCCTGGACCACTCGCCCCTCCCGGACCACATCCAGATTGCCCGGCAGCTCAGACCTCCGTACACGAGGCTCCTCCAGCAGCAGCTCCTCGAGCCGCCGCTGCCGCTGCACAAGGTCCAGGCCCTGATCCTGGTGATAGAGTGGCCCCTGGCGGTGCGCAGCCAGACCCACGACCCCAGCTACGTCTACTGCGGCGTGGCCGTGCAGGCCGCTCGCCTGATGGGCCTCGATCGGCAGCATATGCTGCCGCCGCTGCGGGGACCGGCGGGGACCCTGCAGTCGCGCATCAACGCGTGGCTCGGTTGCTTCTACGTGACTACAGCGTAAGCCTCCTCCTCGTCGGCTCACCCCCGGTCCGGCTTCCTGAGAAGTGGAGAGCTGACCGCATAGCTGTACCCTCCCAGACTGAGCATGCACATGGGTCTCCCGACGCTCATCGAATCCGAGCTGGACCACTCCGTCATCCAGGACTACCTACGCCAGAGCACGATGCCGCCGGCCTTCACCACGCGCGTGCGCGTGCAGCTCACGGTCTCCAGGTTCATCACGCTGCTCAACCGCGACCTGGGCGACCCGACGGCGCTGTCGCTGATCCGGCTCCTGGACTCGGAGCTGACGGCGCTGAGGCCCGAGGGCCTGGAGGGCGAGGCGCAGGCCAGACAGGTCGAGTTCAGCGTGCTCAACGCCAAGATGCACCTGTACACGCTCTTCATCGCCAAGACGCCCTGCGACTCGCTGTCGCGCCAGGTCATGATCCGGACCACCTTCTCGGTGGCCCTGCGCATCATCAACATCGCCACGTCCGGGTGGCACGACCGCCCCGACGCCAAGCAAGACGAAGCCTTCGTGCAGAGGCAGCGCAGCTTCCCCAAGAACCGCTACCGCGGCCTCTCCCTCGCCACCGTCTTCCTCCTCAAGTTCTTCCACAACAGCCCCTCGGCCTCCGAGGAGGAGAGGCAGCTGGCCGCCAACCACGTATGCCTGGCCCAGGAGCAGTTCAAGACGTGCTCCATCGGCCCGGAGGACGAGTACGCCCGCATGTCCACCCTGTTCGAGGCCTCGGCCCGCCTGAAGCCCGAGCAGAAGGACCCCAACAAGCTACGGCTCACACACCGCATGGGCATCTCCATCCTTCTCGACACCGTGACGAATGTCGACGAGGTCCACGGACGCCCCGCCGTGGTGCCCGACGATGGCGCACCGGAGCCGACAACGGCCGGGATGGCTGCTACTGCTACTGTCGATGCCACGACCACGGCCACGACCACGGCCACGACCACGGCAACGATGGAGTCATCCAGCGACCCCATGCACGACGCATATCGTCAGCAGTATCCCGAAGAATACGATGCTTTTGGCTTCGGCCCGGCCATGATGAGGGAGCTGTGGAACGACCCTATCCTCAGCATGATCGACTTTGATCAGCAGTTCTACACCATGGAGTACTGACCCCGTCTTCTCCGCCGTATCTGTGTTGCAATTTGTAATGGTATAAGCCATCTGCTTTCTTCTTCTCCACAGTGGAGGCCGAGTAAGTGGCTCGTGGTATGCTCGTGATACACGGCACATGGGACTGTCAAGGCTAGCGTTTGGGGAGCCAGGTGCTGGGATATATCTTTGCAAGGAAAGTTTGAGGCTCTCACAAGGCATGGGGGTGGACTGGCTTTGGCCACAGGAAGAAGAGCTGAAGGAGCCGTATCTTGAAAGGGGGGGGTTGATGATGCGCCGTGAAAGTCGTGGATGGCTGGGTCGTACGATGCAAGTGCTGCTCTAGAGTCTATGGAGTTGGCTGTACATGCCGTGCTGTGTAGATTACAGAGAAGATGGCTACCTTATTCTGCGGGCTGTGCTGAGCCGTGGGGTTTAGATATAGCATGATGGCTGTTTTGACTTGTCTACGACTTACATGCGAGCGAAGCTCGCTCTCGCTGCTACTGGATGAGAAGGCGAAGCGACGCACGCCGTTGTCTTTGCAGATCAACAGCATGACGGCAGTTATGGACTGCTTTCTTCTTCTCTTCTTTTGCTTTCTTTTTTCAAGGCGTCTTACTATCATCGTAATGCACGGGGAGGGGAAAGAGTTTTACAAATGTCGTGCCCGGATGGCTTATCGGAGCCGAAATCCGGTGAGCCGAAATCCGGCAAGCCGACAACCGGGTCCGGAGCCGAGTGTCGGGCATTCCAAGCTGACGTACAAGCCTCTCTGACTTACCAGCCTACTTTCCGAGGGTGAGGATCTTATATTTGTTTATTTTCTCTTGGAAAGAAGGAGAAGATGAATGATGAAAGAATTGGTCAAGTAGATGGATGAGTAAATGTATAAATGAATAAATGAATGGGATAAAATAAATGGGTAGATAAATGGATAGATAAACAGAGCTACGTATATACTCGTGCTTCCACATAGCCTTGAAATCTGACAGGATATATGCTATTTAGCGGTGTAATACGAATCTTACATCTCCTTTTCGAGAAGACAAAGTTGATCTGCCGCGTGCGCTTCACAGCTTCTCACCTACCGGCTGAGGCGTAGTGATTTATGATCTATATTTAGGGAATGATCCAGCAGACGGTACCGATACCACACCACATGTAATGAACGAATCATTGAGGTATCATTCCCGAGGGTTGGCTGGGACGATCTACCGAGACAGGCGTGTCCCTCTCCCGGCGTCCCGGCTTACACATGGTGAGGTGTAGAGGGGGGGGGGGACTGAACCCGATCGTCTATCAATGCGCGTTACAAACATTGCTGAATCCAGTGGAGGATGCGAAGTTTTGAGATCTCGCTCAGCCACTCCTCATCCTTTCTGTTTCCCCTGCCTTGTCGATCAATTGAAGATATAAAGAGTCGTCAAGGCTTCCTCTTGCTTCCACAATCATCACTCGCAATTCAATAATTAACGAGAAGACCGACCGACCGGCCGACCGACCACGTCTTATACAACACGACAGAAAGTCAAAAGGTTTGAGAACTACTACCAAAACAAACAGACAGGTACCGGAATAGATAGGCAGACAATCAGTCATCATGCCTGGCGAAAGCCTCAGGCTAGCCCCCACCAGGTCGGCCGAGGACAGCGCAGGCATCTACGATCCATACCAGACCGACTCCAGCTACTCGATCAAGGACCCGATGCCGGACAAGGTGGAGGACCTAGAGGTGGAGCCCAACAGGCTGCCGCTGGGGACAGCCATCAAGCGGTACCCCAAGGTGGCGGCCTTCTGCGTGGCCATCATGGTTCCGGTGGTGTCGTACGGGTACGACCTGGTGATTGTCGGGTCGATCCCGGGCGTGGACGCCTTCAAGGCGGACTTTGGCGAGAGGATAGGCGGCGAGATGGCGATCCCGGGCATGTGGCTGTCGCTCTTCATGGGCCTGTCGGCGGCCGGGTCGGCGGTCGGCTCCGTGGTGGCGGGGTGGCTGCAGGACAGGATCGGCCGACGGCTCGGCCTGATGGCCGGGGCGGTGCTGTCGGCGGCTTCCATCACGCTCATCTTCTTCTCGCGCTTCCAGGAGGCCCACAGCGCTCGCAGGGCCGTGTTCACGGCCGGGGTGACGGTCCAGGGCTCGTCCGTCGGCCTCATCAAGGTGGTCTGCATCACCTATATATCCGAGAACTGCCCCCCGGCCCTGGTGGCGCCCGCGCTGTCGCTGATCCCGGCCTTCAACCTCGTCGGCCAGCTGACGGGGTCCGTCCTCCTGTTCGCCGTCAACGGCCTCGACGGCCCCGGGGGATACCTGGCCGCCTTCGGGTCGCAGTGGGTGCTGGCCGGCCTGTCGCTCGTCCTGTCCGTCTTCCTGCCCGAGAGCCCGGCCTACCGGGTCCGCGAGGGGAACGAGGCCGGGGCGCGCCGCAGCGCCGCGAGGCTGTTCGCCCCGCGGGCCGACCCGGACGTCATGCTGCGCCGCACCCGGAGGACCGTTGACGAGGAGCGGGCCCTGCACGCCGGCGTCGGCTGGGCCGTCCTCCTGCGGGGCGCCAACCGCCGCCGCACAATGGTCATCCTGCTGGCCAACTGCTTCCAGGCCATGTTCGGCCTCGACCTGCTGGGCAACGCGAGCGTCTTCCTCCAGAGCGTCGGCGTCGAGTCCGGCGTCGCCCTGCTCGTCATGGTCGCCGGCATCGTCTGCGGCATGGCCGGCAACCTAGCGGGCATATGGGTCCTCGGCAAGGTCGGCAGGCGCCCCGCCTCCATGGCCACCATGGCCGTCGCCGGACTCTTCTGGTCCGCCCTGGGCTTCGCCGGCTTCTGGCAGACCAGCGCCGCCGGCTTCTTCTCCGCCGGCTGCATGGTCGCCGCCGCCGTCGTCTGCGGCCTGGGCGTCTGGCCCGCCTCGTACGCCATCACCGGAGAGGCGAGCTCCCTGCGCCTCAGGGCCAAGTCCCAGGCCGTCGGTGGCCTGGTGCAGGAGGTCCTCTCCGTCGTCATGGGCCTCGCTCTGCCCTACGTCTTCAGCCGCGACGAGGGCGACCTGCGGGGCAAGACGGGCCTCATCTTCGGCGCCCTGTGCGCCATCGGCGTCGTCCTCATCTTCTTCTTCATCCCCGAGATGAAGGACCGGTCTACCATGGAGATTGACCGCATGTTCGAGGCACGTGTGCCCACACGGAAGTTTGGCACGTGGAAGGCCGACGAGCCGGCGCCTGCTAGCGACGAGGAGGTCACGGGTTATTGAAAACCTGCCGTTGTCTTGGGCTTGAGCTGCCCTGATTACAGGCTCGGCATACTCGACTTGAACTTCTTCCGCTCCTTTTGGGGCTGGCCATGTACATATATACTTGCGACGTCATCTGGATTGGCTCTATTCTCTCGGCATTGGCAGGGAATATTTGGCGTTGGATGACGTATCTCTTCTTCTTCTTCCCTCTGTTTGGTTTCCCCTTGGTTAGCACGTGGCATTGTTTGGATAGATTTATATATACAACGTTCTTCTCATCCTGAGCTGTTCCGACCATGAGCACATCAAGTGTGTTATCAGTCTAGTATATAATCAGTCAGACGAATCTAGATTTCCTTCTTACTCGAGAAAACTTCTTCAACAGGAGGTAGCTGCCAACTGTCTGTCCAATAGAGATTCTCGTCATACCACTTGTCACCACGGTCTCCGTGACCTTGGTGTTGAGTAACCTGGCGGTGACTTATACTTGTACGCTTCTGATCTTGTCGGCTCGTTGCTTCCATTCCCGCGCAAGTCCTACAGACCATGGTCCATGATCATCATGTCGGCTCGAAGTCTGACCGTCTTTTGCACCGAAGCATCCGTTTCTTCCCCGGCATCCCTCATGCGCCTAGCCCGGAATTACCGACCTTCTTCCTCCTCTTGATAGCAGGGATCTGGCTGATGATGGAGTAACCGGACAAAACACGACTCTCTTCCATCTGTCTGGATAGACTCCGAATACTACCAGGATCGCAACCGAGGGAAGATACTCCTCTACTTGTGCGAGAGTATATGTGATTCATCCATCAGCGGGAGCACACTCACGAGCACTGTATTCTTGCATGATGAAGACTGCGCTCCCTTCCCTTTACCACGGTATCATTACAGTATGAGCATATCTTCGTACATACAGTACATGTATAAGCCCAAACGGCGGCGTCAGGTTCCACCACAACTGTTGCATGACACCGAATGATCAAACTACCGATGTGACGTACCGTCGGAGAAAACAGAGCCAAGATCTGCATCTTGTGAGACTCTTCAGTACCGATGACCGTAACCGTTGGCAATTGATTCTACGTTCCATATCCAGGGTTTGATTATGGGAAGATGCATAGGACATGAGATCATGTACGCACCTACCTGATCCAGCCGTGTGACCGCATATCGGCACAATGCTACGTTACTGTTCCGCGGCCCTGTCAACCGGGTCATGTCCAACCTCTCTGATGTCCGGCTGCACGAACCGGCGACGCAACCGCCGGGAAGTCAGCTCTCATGTCCCTTACACCTGCCCGAATCAGACGGATACCACAACACCATTGGCAGCTTATCTTCAGGTCGCGTGCAAGGGGGGGGGGGTTGCGCTCCGCACAAGCAAGCATCTCCAGATTGCTACCGGGCATGATGGATGGGAGCATATCATCACGCCGAGGGCCACGAGGGTGAGGAGGAGGACAGTCAAATGCATGCCTCGACCCTATAAAGGAAGAGACGAGACATACTCGATGTCCCTGGTCGGACTATCTCTTTTCTCTCTCTCTCTCTCTCTCTCTCTTCAGAGCACTGATTCTTCTTCTCGTTCATATTCACCACACTCCTTTTACATATATACACATCACTTGACAACTCGAAACATCATGGCTGGTATCAAGACGCTGGCCGCGACGCTGCTGCTGGGCAGCGCGTCAACGGCATGGGCGCAGAGCACGTGCGACACTAAGGGCATACCCGACGGCAAGGTCCTGGTGGGCTACTGGGAGAACTGGGACGGGTCGAGCAACGGCGTGCACCCCGGGTTCGGGTGGGCGTCGATCGACGACCCCGTATTCCTCTCGCACGGGTACAACGTCCTCGCGGCGGCGTTCCCCGTCATCGAACCGGACGGCACGGCGCTGTGGGAGGACGGCATGGACACGGGGGTCAAGGTGTCGACCCCGGAGGAGATGTGCAACGCCAAGGCGGCGGGCACGACGGTCCTCCTGTCGATCGGCGGGGCGACGGCGGCGGTGGACCTGACGTCGCGCGACGTGGCCGACAGGTTCGTGTCGACGGTGGTGCCGATCCTCCGGGAGTACAACTTTGACGGCATCGACATCGACATCGAGAGCGGACTGTCGGGCGACGGCGACATGGCGACGCTGTCCACGTCCCAGGAGAACCTGGTCTACATCATTGACGGCATCCTCGACCAGATGCCCGACAACTTCGGCCTCACCATGGCCCCCGAGACGGCCTACGTCACCGGTGGCTCCGTCACCTACGCCAGCATCTGGGGCGCCTACCTCCCCATCATCAAGAAGTACGTCGACAACGGCCGCCTGTGGTGGCTCAACATGCAGTACTACAACGGCGAGATGTACGGCTGCGACGGCACGTCCTACGCCGCCGGAACCGTCGACGGCTTCATCGCCCAAACCGACTGCCTCGACAGCGGCCTCGACGTCCAGGGCACCACCATCACCGTCCCCTACGGCATGCAGGTCCCCGGCCTGCCGGCCCAGGACGGTGCCGGCTCCGGCTACATGGCCCCTGACCTCGTGTCGCAGGCCTGGGACAGCTACGACGGCGAGCTCAAGGGCATCATGACCTGGTCTGCCAACTGGGATGGTTCCAAGGACTGGACCTTCGGCGACAACCTCAAGGACGATCTCGGTACTGCCTAGGGCCGCTGTTCTGGGGCAAGTCATCTCTTCTTGTAGATATAACTCTCCTGAACGTCCAACCCTATATAATAAAACCTGCTTGGACGAATACCGTATTCGTCGTATTCGAAATTACGTGTGCCTTGGTGGTACTATATACCGATCTTATCTCTCGTCCTGCACGGCTTGTGTATGTCTCTCTCTCTCTCTCTCTCTCTCTTTCTCTTGTCAATAACCCCGTCTCCACCTTCTTTTCGTGGTGGTGGTGGTGGTGGTGGTGGTCGTCGTCGTCGTCGTCATCGTCGTCATTGCCGCCGTGATGAAAACTTGGTATAGAGGGTTTATCAGAGTGAGGAATTCTTTTAATTTTCCTGAATAACCAGATCCCAGACGTACATTACACATTGCATGAACAGTTCCGTCAAATCATTCTGTCCCAAGTTATATATGTAAGACGTATACGTACATGTATATATCCGTTCCTTTCCCCTAAAGTGTCATCACTGAGAAGAAGAGTCTTCTTCTCCTTTTCCCTTCTTTGCTTCTTTGTGTGTCTCTTGCGTCATCCAAATCGTACAGACATGGTTACGTGGTAGCTGATGTGCACATGCAGATATCAAATTGTTACCGGTCTCGTTCCGTCTCCGCGCATGTAATGATCCATTACTTCTGGTCCAAGTTGACTATATCATGTTAGCTGTCGGCATTTCTCTTTCTTCTCCTGCTTCTTTTTCTCTTGTACAGATAGACCAAAAAAAAAGAGACTCACATGGTCAGAAGCAGCTTCGTAAACTCGTCGGCATCCTCTGCACGGGCATACATCCAGAAATCGTCAAAATCCCAATCAGTGATCCACCAACGGGGCTTTGTTCGCCAGGAATGGTAAAAATCGACGGATGTGCCTGCCGTCCAGAGGTGTTGCGAGGCAGTCCACGATGTTTTGGATGGTTGCATGCAAGGGCCGACTAAAACGGGAGTCAGTTTGTTTTGTTTCGTCTCTTCTTCTTCTTCTTCTGCCTCCTGCCTCCATTACAAAGTAAAAAAAAAAAAAAAAACTCACTTTGGGGCTGCTTCATAAGATGTAAAAGACACTTCATAGGTAATGCCATGACAACTGTTCTTCGAATGCTCTCGAGTAGAATCCAGGCCTATATTACCCTTCTTGTCAGTCCATCTTTTATCAAGGTCACAACACACAACAGATAAGAAACAAGAAGAAAAAAAACAAAAGAAAAAGAAGGAGAGAGGATGAAGAAAAAGGATAAAGAAAGGGGGGGGGGGAAACACACATCCCAAGACTTTGGAGTCTGATTATTCGGCGCATGGCCCAAAACATTCTCGAGGTCATCCCTGAGCATGACGAGATCGTCGATCCAGGCATCGAGGACGACATTGTCGGCTTCGGCGGCGTTCCGGAGGAGGATGTCCCCGTCAAAGATACGCATCGAGTCGAGCAGCACCATGGCCTGGACGCGGGCCAGCCTCTCGAGCGGGCTGTGGGGACCAGCGTTGACGGGGACGGGCGAGGCCGACGCCGTGGCCGAGGTGGGCCGGGCCCACCCCCCGTGGGCGAGGATGTCGGCAGCCGCGTCGCCCAGGAGCTTCATGACCCACGGCTTCGTGTCGGGCGTGCGGCCCGCGTAGGCAGACGCGGCGGCGAAGGCCGTCATCATGGTCCGCGGCAGCCGGGAGGCGTACAGCCGGTGGTGGATGAAGGGCAGGCAGCGCGTGCGCGCAAACGTCACGTGCATCTTGGTCATGTACTGGATTATGTAGCCCATGCGGCTGCGCGGGTCGTGCACGACCAGAGGGTCGACGGTGCTGACGCACCTGCTCTCGTCGCGTAGGAGGGTGAGGTCCCGGATCGGGTGCTTGTGCCCCCCCTGCTGCTGCTGGGCCGATGCGGGCTGTGCGACCGCTGGCGGCGGCGGTAGCGGCGGCGGCGGCGGCGGCGGTGGCGGTGGCGGTGACGGCGTGGCCATCATGGCGATGGGGAAGTCGGCTTTGGGCTCACCAAAGTACATGGGTAGACTCCAGGGGTTGCCGCTGCCGTTCCGGCTGTTGGCGTCGTGCGAGTCTTGCGGGCTGTGGCCGAGGAGGTCAGCGATGGTGAAGTCCAGGTTCGGATCCAGCTGAAGCATCTCGGGGGCATCGTTGCCGCTGCCGCTATTGTTGCCGTTGCTGTTGCCGTTGCTGTTGCTGTTACTGTTGGCGCTGTTGTTATTGCTGTTGCTGTTGCTGTTGTTGCTGTTGCCGTTGCTGTTGCTGTTGCTGTTGCTGTTGCTTCCAAACTGCTGCTGCATCTGTCTGCATATATCATCCGAGTTCATGGGGAAGTCGGCAGACATGTCCATCGCTGCGGCGTGGCGGGGTGAGGATGACGATGCAGACGATGATGAGGACGAGGCTGAGGTGAAGTTGTTGTTGTAGCTGTCGTAGCTGCCATAGTTGCCGTTGCCGTTGCCGTTGCCGTTTCCATTTCTGCTGCCATTGCCATTGCCATTGCCATTGCTGCTGCTGCTGCTGCCGCTGTTCCTGTTGCCGTTGCTGTTCCTGCTGAATTTGGGGAGTGGCTGCTGTTGCGATAGACCTCCTCCGCGCGGATGCCTCTGGTACACGCAGTCTAGACCTTTAGCTGCGCACCGGGTACACCTTGGCGTCGTCTTGTCGCAGCGTCTCTTCCCCCTGACGCAGGCATTGCAGCTCTTCTGGCGGGATGCGGCTGCTGTCGCTGTCGCTGTCGCTGTCGCTGTCGCTGTCGGTGTTACTGTTGCCGTCGCGGTGGCGATGGTGGGGGTGGTCGTCGTCGCTGTCAAGAGGGTATCGAGGGGTTCAACGTCCATGATGTAATCAATCGAGCTTTTTTTTCTTTTTCTTTTTCTTTTCTTCTTTACAGCATTTTCCCGTGCTTTAATTTTTTATCGTGAACGTATATAATACTGCTTACGTATAGTGAAGGAGAAGGAAGGTAAGGAACAGAGGGAGAGGACGAGGATGAGGATGAGGATGTGAAACGGAAGGAGGAGAGTGACCCTGGAGAGTGTGACGTGAACCGAGTCGGACTTTGGACCCTCCTCAAGTCCGGATGTCGTCGTAGTATAATTGTCAGCAGGAAAAGTCCGCTCGTGGGTGCGTGGGTGTGTGTGTGTGTGTTGTACCCGTACGGGATTAGAGTTTCTTATCTGCGTCTTTCAGATCTTATCACAAGTAACTCCGTATCGTCACTGGTTATCGTAGCAGTCGTATTCCCCTTATCGTTGGATATCTACGATCAAATTATCTAATCCGTCTTATCAGTCCCTCGACGGGTTTAAAGATTAGAAATTGGAAAATAAAATTGAAAATAAAATAAAAATAAAATTTTACTGAAAAAGTCCGCAAAGTCCGCTCAGTCTACTCCGTAGTCCCTCGTCCGTGACACTTTTCCACTGACTGTATTATACCATCTATATCTATATACTGCTACTACAGGTACTCCGTATCGCTCCGTACGGTATTGTATCATCAATAGTGAAACTGCACTACGTGGGACTACGGCTTCGATTACTTCCTATCGTATCCGTACTGCTGTAATGACTGCCACGAAATCGAACCGTGCCACGTTGATAACTCCCGCAAGGGCAGCAGAGAGCCATGTGGTCTCCCCCGCTTACATCTGACATACTTGACGCTTGACGCGCATTGGCATTCCTAGTCAGGAGTGGGCATTCGTGATCCTACAGACATTCCGTCGCATAATATGACCTACTACTGCTGCACCCATCGCTACTGTACTCGTGTACCTAGAAACATGGCAAGTCTGAAAATCCGATGACGAAATCCTCAGAAGAACTTTCAATGTAGAAACAAAGACAACGTATAGAAAGGAGAGAAGAGAACCCTCCAAAATAGCAGAGAAGTCTCCCGAAACAGAAAGAAGCGACTCTGGGAAAAGAAGATTAGAAAAGATGAACAGAACGGAGAGAAAGAAATAAAACCACCCCTTGACCCTGGGTATATGCAGCCTCCTTATCCACCCCTTTATTTGTTTTCTTGTCCCAAACTCCGCCACTCACTCCAATAATCACCTGAACCCTGACGAGACACGTCGTTCTCTTCTCTTTCTTTCTGATCCGGAGTCGATATAGATCAGGTGAGGAATATTCTCTTTCCAGTCTTGAATTGATATAGAGCAGAAGACTTCCTTCTCTTTGATCAGAGATTGAGATAAACAAGAAAGAACCTTCTCTTTTCCAATCTAGAGTCAACAGAGATCAGGAGAAGAGAGAGGTCAAGAGAAACGTAAAGAAAAAGACAGAAAAAAAGACATCTTCAGACCCCCATTTTTGTCAAACTTGTTTTTTTTTTCTTGCTTTTGTTTTATTTTTTCTTGCTTTTCCGCATCCAGAAAGTCAGATAGGAGAAATATGGAAAGAAACCTTCTTGTTTCCTTGCCGTAAAGGAAAGACCCCATATATATGTTTATATATAAAAACAGAGAGAAAAACAAAAGTGTCAAGAAAAAAAAGAACCCGAAGATGAAGAGAGTGGGAAACAGAGGAGAGGAGAGCAAAGGAAGAAAAAAAAGACGACGGTGAATATCGTCAAATGCTGTAAGCTGCGAGAGGAAACCCCTCTGCTGTACATTATAAGCTCCTTTTCAGGGTGTTTCTAGACGAGGCCAGACGCGAACAACAGGATGGGGCGAGGGAGACCAGATGGCTAGAATAGAAGCCGCAGCATATAAGAAAAAGGAACTGGGAGAATGCCAGATGAGGAAGAAAAGATAGAGACAAGAACAAGACAAGAAAACCAGAGTAATAAAACATGGAACCAAGGTCTGATTCGAGCGCTGTCAAGACGTAGAAACAAAATTAAGTCGTATGTTTCGTCTTTTTGTATTCGTAGACGCTGTAGACGTGAAAGCTCGGCGTGGGGGAGGGATCCCGACAGGGAAGGAAAGATATCCAGCGGGAAAGATTTCAGAAAAATCCACGGTGGGAGAGGAGTGGACGGAGAAGATGAAGAAGACGACGAAGAAGAGGGGGAGGAGGAGGAGGAGGAGGAGGAGGAGGAGGAGGAGAGAGGGCGGTAGATGTAGAGAAGAGAGCATGCAGGTCATGACCTTGTCGTATCGGTTCAGAACAAGACGACACCGGAAATCCCGGCAGAGCATAGATGACGGTAAACAGCTGTCCTAGTAACGCTCCTGGCGATATCCGTTGGCGCTGCCGGGCGTGTCATACTGCACTCCCATCATCGAGTCGGGCCCCCCTCCGCCGTGTATGCTGCTGCTCAGCGACCGCAGCGGCGGCAGCTCTGTCCTGCTGCTGCTCGACGACCCTGCTGCGGCGTACTCGTAGGGTCCGCCGGCGTGCTGCGATGGCGGCGGTGCCGGTGCGGAGGCGGACGGCGGCGGGGGCGGCGGCTGCGAGGACGCATCTCGGTACTGGGAGCCGGGGGCCTCCCCTCGGTAAGCCTGGAGCTCTCGGCGGAGCACGTCGTTCTCGTGGGCAAGCGCCTGGTACTTGGCCTGGATGGTCTGGATATACTCTTTCTGGTGGCGGTGTTCGTTGATGGCTGTTTGTATCGTCTGTCAGCACGGGCTTGTCTGTCCTGCGCACGGCAGATGGGGGGTACCGATGCTCACCCTTCTGTAGGATCTCCCACTTGGAGGCCTTGGATCCCCTCTCCTGGGGCATCTCGTCGCGCAGGGCGTCAAAGAGCTCCTTCATCTCCGTCCTCCTCTTGCGCTCGGCCAGCTTGTGGCTGACGCGGAGCTCGGGGGTGCGGCTGTAGGGCTGGTTGCCGCCCAGCTCGGCGGCCTGGAGGTCGGTCAGCTGCTGGTGCTGCATGTGCATGGGGTAGTCGTCGGGTGGCGAGGGGCCGTCGTCGAGCCTCCTCTGGCCGGGGGGCAGTCGCGAGTCGGCCGTGAGCTGGCTGCTGGCGATGGACTCGGAGATGCTGCTCCGCCTCGACAGGTCGTAGGGGTGCTGCGGCTGGGGCTGGCTGATCCTCTGGACCTCCTCCTCGGGGAAGGCCCAGGCCTGGCCCTTGGTGGGCTCGGCGGCGCGGGCGATGTGGCCGGTGGCGGGTCCGGTGATGGCCGGGGCGGTCCTGGCGGTCCTGGACTCGGGGTTGCGCTCGGCGCTGGGGGCGTAGCCGTTGGAGATGCGCTGGACGGGGGGCGCGTCGAGGCCGGCGCGCGGGTGGCGTTGCGAGTTGAGCGTGTTCTGGATGGACGTGGTCGAGTGGTTGTGGGTGGCGTAGGGAGAGTTGCCGAGGCGCATGTCGCTCAGGCCCTGGTTGATCCTGCTGTCGACGCTCTCGCGCCGCGACAGCAGTGCCGGGTCGGGTCCGCCGGCCAGGGTCGAAGCGCTCTGGGTCGACTCCATCGAGGACTGGTGCTCCGGTCGGCGAATTTCGGGGCCGTGGGAGGATGCGGGCGACACCATCGAGGCGACGCTCATGTGGCTGGCGGGCGGGGAGACGAGTGAGTGGGACACGTGGCCGGCGACGGGGGAGGGCGTCTTGTCGATCGACGACTGGTAGCCCGAGGGGGCAGGGCTCATGCCATTGACAAAGGAGGCGGCCGAAGTATCTGCAGGGAGCGCTGGTGAGCACGGCGGGTGGGCACGGCGGGTGGTCTAGGACCGGCTCGGGCTCGGCCGATGACCGGGCCAGGGAGCACTTACGTTTACTCGACACGTCGGCCGTCGAGTAGAAGCCGGAATCACGCAGCGGCGGCGCACCGTTGGTGCTGGCCGGGTGCTCTTCCTTGTTAAGGATATTGGTCAGGCCGGCAGCCTTGGGAGGCTGAGGCCTGGGCTGTGCCTCCATCTCTGTTCAGCGTGGGGTCGGTTGGTTTGTGCGCGTTGGCGGCCGGTCGACGTCTAGTAGGGAGGGGTTGATTGGGTGAGAGTACGAGGGGGCGAGGGGCAGGGTGGAGGTTCGAGAGAGCGTGGCCGTTGTTCGGGATGTCAGACAGAGGGACGAAGTTGTCGTCGTCGTCGTCGTCGTTTCGAAAGCGAGGAGGATGTCGACGTATTGGCCCTCTGGCGAGGGGGACAAGGAAAGGGAAATCGACTCGGGAGATCGGTTGGGGAATGTATAGTGGGCAAAAGAGTGACGTGTAGAAGTCGTACAGGAATAAGGACGACAAGGGAATCGAGGAGAATAAAAAGGTCCCGTGGCGTCCTGGAGCAGAACGGGCGTCGAGGTGGTGGAAATGGGCGGCACGAAGGTCAGTCGAGAGGGGGGGGAAGAAGGTGGTGGTGGTTTGTCCCTGAGTAAATGCTACATACACGTATCCGCTTTTCGAAGGAGAAGAGGGAAAAGAACAATTTTTTTGGGGGGGGGGGGGGGGGGGGGGACAAAAAAAAGGCGACGGCCCTGAATGGTGTGTGTGCGCGAGGCAGGGGAGTCTGAAGGAACAGTAGTTACAAAATAAATAAAAAATAAAGAGAGAGGGGAGGTGGGCGAAAAGACGCAATCAGTGGGCGTTGTCCTCTATACCACGAAACCCGGCATGTTCAAGACAGAAATGGTCGAAGCAAGGAGGAGAAGAAGGAGAGAGAAGAGGGTGATGGTTGTAAAGTCGTAAAGAGAAGAAGAAGGCGGTTTTACAGCGAGAATGCGAGAATGACGAAGAGAGCGAGGAAATCGGGAAAGGGAGCGTGGGTGTGAGAGATGGGGGAAGCACGAGTTAGAGAGTAGACTGGGGACTGGGGAACTTGTAATGTGTGGACATGAGAAGAAGTTTAGCGGGTAATGCAGGATTGGTACTCTCACGGTATCTCTCTCTCTCTCTCCCTCTCTCTCTCTTCTCGATTTCCTCTTCGTGCCTCTCACTCAAGTATTGCGGAGTACGGATGCGAGCCGCTGGAACAAGCAGAGAGCAAAAGAGGCCAGAGCGCACGCGGGTACGAGTAACGAGTAACGGGTACGAAGTAATAGTACTGTAATAGTACTGGTAGTAATGGTAGCATCAGTACCCGTACCTACAGATAGTCGTACGGAGTATTTTCCCATGTTACGAAGAGTAGAAGATTACAGAATACCCGTATTATTAGTGGTGGTAGTAGTAATATTACGAGTATTACGGGGAATAAGATAGAGAGGGAGAGAGAGGCTGCCAGAGTACAGCTATGGGGTACTTTCTCTTCGGCTTTAGATGGCCAGGAGGGACGGACCCATGGCGGGACGGAAAGAGAGGAGAGGTACAGAGTACAATGCACGGGTCGACGAGTACCTGGGAACTTTGTGTGCGAGTGTGCGGGTGCGTATTAGTACATGTAGTGTCCGTGGTGTGTGGTCAGTGGCTATCATGGCGTGTGCCCTGGCCCTCTAGGGGGCGGGAAGGGAAGGAGGTCGGCGCCAAAAAAAAAAAAAAAAAGAGCCGTTCAGGGGTGGGGTTTTACGAGTACCAGGGGGGGGTGGGGGCGTGTGTACAAGTGCAGAGAGGAACTGTGCCTGTACTCAGCCGTAGGCTGTAATACCTGTAGAGAGAGAAAAGAGGGGGCGTGTGATATTGTCAGATTTGACTCGTGCACACACACATGCATCGGGACTGGAGGGAAAGAGCGACTGAGCGTCAGCCAGCAGCAGCAGTAACTGCCCGTGTACTAACCAATACTAGTAGCAAAGCCAAGACTCTTGAAGGAAAGAACCACCAACTGTCTCCCCTCTTTCTTATCTTGTGGAGAGAGAGAGAGAGAGAGAGATGTGTTTTTGGTGTACAGTGCGATACTGACGACTCTGTAACTGTCCTCCGCGGCGGTCGGGGATTCTCTGAGCCTGGCCTCGTTGCCTCTCTGCCTTGGTCTGCCTCGGTCTGCCTTGGTCTGCCTTGGTCTGCCTTTCTCTATATATGATATTACTATATACCGTCCTGCTCGTACCTGTACCTGTACGGATACTACATATAGTAACACTATGACCCTGTCCGGACTGATCCTGGTTGGATCTGATGGGATCTCTGGGAATAATATGAGTACCCGTAGCTTTGATTCTTCTCTCTTTAATTATCTGTGGAGTAAGGAGATGCTGGTAGCTTTTCTTTTTTTTTTTTCCATCTTTTTTTTCTTCTTATTATCATCTCGCCATCACCACGACATTCTACCTGTACCATGACTACGTTATTACTGCGAGTAGCAGTACGAGTACTATTATCATTATTACTAGGTTTATTCATATTACTAATTCCAGTAAAGGTACGGAGTACAGATCACAGGTATCAGTCTCGATACGAGTACACGATACGTGACGGCATCGAATCATCCCACCGCGGCGGCATGTGCACAAGCTGGGAGTCGGCAAGTACGGGGAGTCCTACGGGGAGTCCTACGGGGAGTCCTACGGGTAATTCTCGTAGGATCCTCGCATGCAAGCCACCCACTCGGTTTCGAGATGCTGTATTACGAGTACATGTGATGCTCTGTAGACTTGGGCTCGCCCGATCACGATGGTTGCATAGGTGCACAGACAATGCGCATCGGAACAGCTTGTGACTGCCATGTTTTTCATCTCCGCTGTCCCTCTTTTTTGTCGTCAGTTGGTTCCGTCTTCTCGTTCGGTCCAGCCAGCCGCAAGACATTTCTCCTCTTTTTCTGTACTCTCTCTCCCCTTTTCCCCACTGATGGACTTGTGTGTGTGTGTGTGTGTGAGAGAGTGAGAGAGATGAGTACAGATTACTCGTAGATCCGTCTCTTTTCCTTCTTCTTCTCTCTTCTTCTTTCTTTTTCTCGTTTCTTTTCTTTTCTCTTACGGAGCACGGTACGGAGTAATCGTAGCGGTGATGATGCTGGGCGAGAAATTTGATGGTAGACTTTGTACTCCGTATGCTACCATGGTATTACTATTAGTCTTGCTGCTGCTGCTGTTGCTGCTATCCTGTACTCGTATGTACTCGTCCCATGTGCATTACTCGTAGCGTCGCATCTCCCATAGAAATCCGATGCACGTGCGAGATAACCAGCCAAGGATAGACTCGTGGCATCGCAGTAGTGTGCATGCCGGCCAGAGTACGTACCTGTACATGTACAGACAGGTACAGTTTGCAGCAGCACAGGCGAGCACACATGCACGAGGGCGGGTAGGACACGGTACCATTTGCCGTTTAATACAGAGAAGAAATGAAAGGGGGGGGGGTTGGTTAATAAAAGCAAATAAGAGAGAAAAAAAGAAAGGAATAAAGAATAAGAGAGTAAAAAAAAACAATTCGATACTATTTTGTTTATTAAAAAAAGAAAAAAAGTTGGTCAGATGTTCCGCTGCCGCCCGTAAAGCATCAAGAAGAATGCGGTCGTACATGGGAGGCTGCAGCCAACCGAATCTATTGGCGACGGCAGATTGGTAGAGGTCGAGTAGTACGGCATAGTTGATGTTACCAGCAAACAGTATTATCACTCTTACTCTGCTGCATGTTGGGTGTGTGGGAGACGGGGGCCTAGAGGTATGTACAGGTTACAGATTATTCGTACGAGTGCTCGTATTATATAGTATCGTATAATGATAAATACGTGCTCCGTACTAGCACGGGACTTGTGCTGATGGCGTATCATCTACTATATTAATATGGGATTGCTACCTGGAGAGTACGAGTACGAGTGCATGAGTCCCATCGTCGGGATAACTGCTGATGAACATGCTGGCCGAGATCCAGGTAACCCTTGATATGTGTCCAAACAACAATAACGACAATAACAACAACAACAACAACAACAACAACAACAACAGCAACAAACCGACCGACCAACCCCCAGCCCCCCCCCGACAGAACAGTTGACTCGAGCGCATGCCAATGACGGCACCACACCATCAAAAGCCACTAAAATAGCCGATCCCGCGCATCATGGGATTTTTTGTTGCCAGGTTGGTCAGAACGAGGGTCGAGAGATCCTTATCCCATGTGCCATTGTACCCGGTACCTCCTCCTCCTCCTCGACATGGTCCGCGGGATGTGAGTACTACCTGAGCCGTACTAGACTAGCAGCAGCAGCACGTTTTCCGTCAGAGAGAAGCATCGGGACATGATGAGAGGGTATTGCACTGTACGGGTAGAGCAGCAAGCACACCATCATTGGCCCTAAGCATCCATTCATCCTTTCATTCATCCATGGCTATACTGTTTATGACCGAGCACTAAGGACGCATGACTGACTATATTGTATAATACTAGCAGTATCAACCAAGCAATAATAATTATACTACTACGGAGTCATAGTAGCAATAGTAGTAATAGCAGTAGTAGTCAATACCCGTCAAGTCGTATGATGATACCCCGTAGGTCTGTCTCTGCACGGAGCAACAATACGTCGCAAGAGGCGGCGGGTTCGCAACTGATTTGTAACGTGTAGATGTGTGTGTACATGTACCCGCTCCGCACCGGTCTAGTGCCGCCAAGATGCAGTGCTCGGTAATATATAGCTCTGACGCCGAGAGGGGGAGGGGCACAGGACAGAGCAGGACAGGGCCTTTTTTTTCCCTTCTCTTCTGTTTCCAACCCATGGTCGGCGGTCCATATTTCCGTACCTTGCGTCGTACCACGTTGTACGTTGCATGCCACTCGCTCAAACTCCATAGATGACAATACTCTCTGTCCTAGGCTGACTACGAGTACTCTGCCTGTACGGGTTATCACCGTACACAACTGCTGCAAATTAACACTCGGCAATACAGGAATATACTCCACAACTAGCAATAATAATATAATAATGCTGACGGATGCATGTTAGTTCGGAGGCTAGCGTATCGACGTTGCTGTACGGAGTACGGAGACGGAAATGTGCAGTTGCTTGGCGGCTTTGGTCTCTGACTCTCTCTCTCTCTCTCTCTCTCTTTCCCTCTCTCCGAGCTCTTTCTCTGTCCCTCCTTCCCTCTCTTACTTTCTCTGTCCCTCCTTCCCTCTCTTACTTTCTCTGTCCCTCCTTCCCTCTCTTACTTTTTCTCTCCCTCTCTCCCTCTCTCTCCCTCTCTCTCCCTCTCTCTCCCTTTCTCTCCCTCTCTCTCCCTTTCTCTCCCTCTCTCTTTCTCACTCTGATATGGCACCGTACACTGTATTGCGCTGGATGGTATTGATACCAGTATCCGTATTATCAATACCGAGTCCCTACTCGTGATATTACTCCGTAATATTATACTAACACTCCCCTAACATGCTTGCTTGACTAGTATCCCGCCTTCGTGAGCACATATGCTCTACCAGCAGACGGGCCGTGCACAACCCCTGTTCAGTGCGACCTACACCGAGCACGCAACTATGAGTAGCTGCGCTTGTACAGGCACGGGCAGAGTCCCGTAGGCACATGTGCCGTCTACTCGTATGTATGGCCCCATCCTGCATGAGACTCGTACAGTGCCAATACTGTGACCTGTCACGCTACGAAGTAGGGCAGAGGATGGCTGACATGACGAGTCTTACCAAGTGATTGACTCCTACATATGGCAGCTGTTTTTTTTTTTTTTTTTTTTTTGGCTCGAATGAATAGTAATGGGAGAAGAAAACCGTTGGACCCTCCGCTGGCAGTCCTTGACCTCCCTCCCCTCTGGCATCACCTACATCTACGGATCACGGATCATCATACTGGGAGTAAGAGATGTTACCAAGAGTAAAAAGAGACAGAGAGTACCCCAAGGCACACCGGACCACTTCTTACAAAACACCCCCCCCCCTCCCCCCACCATCTTCCCCCCACACCCCCACACCCCCAACACACACGCCTGTTTGTTCAACCTGGCCCTGCACGCTTCAAAGAATGCAGCATGCACTGCGCACGCGCTCTCACGCACGCCACCGACTTGTACGAGTACAAGTAACAAGTAGCATGGTCAGTGCGCCTGCAGGAATCGTGTGAAGTGTGTGTGTGTGTGTGTGTGTGTGTACGAGACGAATAGCAAACCATGTGCTTCTGTGAATATAATCATAATAACAGATAGCAATGATGATGATGATGATAAAGAGAGGGAAGAGAGGGAAAGAAAAAACTTTGGTCTTCGTGTTCCCCTTCTCTAACCCCCCTCCCCGCGCGCGGACATTCCTCATGGTGAAAACCCCCGAAGGAAGGGGGCGGGAGGCGAAATGTCTCTCTCTCTCTCTCTCTTCGAATAGGTTACATCTCGGAGGGTACTCGTACAGGCGCGTGCAGCATCAGCGCGTGCAGCATCTCAAGCAGAATATACATCAATCTGTGGGGAGGGGGGCCAAGAACGAAAGAGCGAAGAGAAAAGAAGAGCTTCGGTCACGGTCAAGCATTCAATGTTGAACCCTCCTCCCCCCTCCTCCCCAAGGATGCGCCTATGGCCACGTGAATCTCATAGATCCGTGCACACACACACACACACACACACACACACACTTCACACCCTGGCAAGGGTAAAAAGCGAGCGCCACCGACTGGCAACGAGGTGGGAAAACTCGGCTGATCTTCGTTGGCACATGGGAAATCTGGCCCCTCGCGGCGCCTTGGCCCCCCCCCCCCCTCTCCGAGTTGGGGAGGGGGGGAGAGGGGAAGGATACGAAGTAGTAATACTCGTACTACTCGTAGTGTAATCTGTACTGCTCGTAGTATCTCTCTCTACTGGTAGTATCTCTATGGCTTTCAAGTTCGTACGATACTCATACATTACATGTACTATCCGTACCCTCCCTCTCGTCGAGCGGCTGGCCACATGTTTCCCCTCGGCACTATGTTGCCTCCCTGTACCCCAAGTCCCACACACGCACACACACATATACTGCACACAATACACAATATATACACAATACACAACATATACACAATACACAACATATACACAATACACAATATATACACAATATACAACATATACACAATATATACACAGTACACAACATATACACAATACACAATATATACACAATATACACAATACACATAATACACAACATACAACATACACACAATACACAACATGCACACACAATAAGAAAGAGTTTCCTTTTTCACGCTGCTGGCCCCTTTTTGTATTTTTGTATTTTTGTATTTTTTTTTTGTCAACAGAGTAATGGAGGCTGAGATGTTTACCATGTCGAGCGGTGGGGGCGGGGCCGGGAAAGAAGGAGGAGGGGTAAGAAGAGAAGAAAGAGAAAAGCTCGGGGCAAGCAGAGAAGGGAGGATGCAGACGGAGAGGGTTTGCTCTTCCTCACCTCAAGAGGGCGGAGTCACCAGAGGAAGAAGAAGAAAAAGTTCCAATCGAGAATGGAGAAGAAAGAAGAAAGACGAGAGGAGAGGACAGGAGAGGAATAATGATTTGCAAGACAGGAGCTGGGTGGGTGGGGCTCTTGCTCCTGTGTGCCTTTCTTAGTCCTGGACAATGCCATCCGTACATGTATGAATATTCCTATAATCATGATTGCTAGGTGCGATATTACCAGGTGCGATGCTAACAACTCGATCAAGGCGTTCGAGGAGCCACACGGAATGGGGGATGTCTGGATTCTCATCTCATCTCATTCTTGGGTCAGATGGATCTCTTGCGGAGTATCACAGGTTGCATGGTCTCTGCTCTCTACCGTCCTTGCGTAGCTCGTGTATGGGCGAAACCTGTGCCTCTTCTGGGAGAGAGGGGGGGGGGGGAGGGAGAGATCGGACACTGCATAGTGCCAATACCCGTTCCGTCGTTTCATCGCCTGGAGCATCTCGACACCAAGATCCGACAGACACGTCTTCCGGATCCGGCACCGTTGCTGCGTTTCTCCGACGAGATTGGTTCCCGGCCGGCCAGTGAGTCTCTTGTCAAGTCCGCTGTACACGTGGAAGAGCCTCTTGTCGGTTGTGACGGTACGCGGAAAGACTTGTGCTCGGTACGGACGGAGCGATGCTGTTCATGGTACTGACCTGTACAGACACGTACACACGCACACACACACACACTCATATATATATACTTATATACTTCGTACCATGGTCCATGGTTGGTATGATTATTACTAGACTATCAGTAGTAATACGAAATGTCACCCCTGCTACAACTACATGCATCACAGTCCAACTACTGATACCCATTATAGGATATCGTCTTCTTTTCCGTCGTCCTTTTTCTTCTTCTTTCTTTTCATCTGATTTTGATTTGATCTGTTTCCTTCCCTCCAAGCCCCCAATCACATCAAAGAGACGTGCCGCCGCTCTGACCTCCCCCAAAAGTTCTGATAATACGAGCGTCGAGTTTGACGTGACCCTGACCGTCTCATTACATTTCTTCTTCTCCTTCCCTCTCTTTCTCTCTCCCCCTCTCTCTCTCTCTCCCTCTCTCTCTCCCTCTCCCTCTCTCTCTCCGGCGAAACCGCTTTACCTCGGTCTGTACTCGTACGGCGAACTAGGTAATAGATTGTAGATGAGCCATGTCTCTTGGCCACGAAGTCGCTTTGTAGTACTTGTCGAAGCTATCGATCTCCCCCCCCTCCCCCCCCGGTGGAGATGTGCTCTACCTGAATTCAAGAGGTGACGAGGGAAAAAAAACTCCACTTGGTATCATGTATCTAGATGTTTCTTTTTTTAAGCCGCGGAACCATTGGAATGTGAAATCGGCAGGATTCTTTCCAGGCAAGGCAATAATGGAAGCTACTCATCTGAAAAAAATAATAATAATACTATTTAAATAACAAGAGAAATCCCCATCTGCATCATTCTGATCTCATGTCTCTCCTGTTTTGTTTTTTGTTTTTTTTTGCTAGTCATGACCTTTTTCACATCTTTGCAGCATTCCTCTGTCCCACGTTTTAAGAAGGACGGCATCTCACCAGCGAATCTTCTGTGCCGAGAGGAGAGGACAGAGCATCCTTCACACACACACACACACACTCTCTCTCTCTCTCTCTCTCTCTCTCTCTCTCTCTCTCCCACACACTAACACTTCACTCACACTCACTCACACTCACACTCACTCACTCACACTCACACTCACTCACTCACACTCACACTCACTCACTCACACTCACACTCACTCACACACATGGAAAAGAAAAATCGTTCCTTTTCCCGACCGTTCCATCCATAGTTCATCAGACGGAGACAANCACTCACACTCACTCACACACATGGAAAAGAAAAATCGTTCCTTTTCCCGACCGTTCCATCCATAGTTCATCAGACGGAGACAATGGCCATGTAGTTGATACCGTTTGTGTTCTTTTCTTCGTCTTAATGCATCAGTGGATGGACGGTATGTCTTCTTCTTCTTCTTCTTCTTCTTCTTCTTCTACCTCCTCCCCCTTCTTCCTTCCCATCTGTATCAAGCCCGCTTGGGGTCGAGTTTGCGAGGTTAGTATGAAAGCCACTTGCCATGTTTCACAGCATCGCGTGCCGTGTTGAATGTGAGAGTGGAAAAAGCCTCTTTCTCTCTCTCTCTGCATCCCTCCATTGCTGGCCCTACTTGGCGTGTACGGGAACTAGATATGCTCGGCATACTCGGTACTATAGAGCACCACCATCTCATACTCGACGGACCTTGTACCATCGTGACGAAACGTAATGCACAATGCACGTGTTTAGTTCCTTTTTAAAATATATTATATATATATATGATATATGATGATATATGAGGTCAAAAATGTATCATGGGCTAAAGAGAAGGTTGGAGTGGCGTATGTATGTGTGTGTGTGTGTGTGTGTGTGCGTTACGTCTCTCTAGTAATGCACACACCACCATTCCCTTCCCGCTTCTCGAAGAGCAATCAGAAACTAGAGGAGAAAGAAGAGAAGAAAAAGAAGAAGAAGAAAATACGAGACTTGACCTCGATGATGAGAGGCTAGAAACGTGTTGTCTCGTTTCGAGAATCGGGAGTTGCGAGAAGAGAAGAAGAAAAAAGGTCCAAGCGGTTTTGCTTCTGTCTTGTCTTGCTTGTGCCTCCCTCCCTAGACGGGACGGCGCCACCTTGTCAACCGAAATGAGGAACATCAGTCTCTGATGGTCTACAGGTTCCTCGTACTCGTATTATTAATTACTAGTCGATCCTTTTCATGTGTCTGCCGTTTACCCTCTTGTTTTTCAAAAAAAAAAAAAAAAAAAAAAAAAAAAAAAAAAAAAAAGTTAGCTCATACATATGTCACTCGTTACTCTTTTCAGAGGGGAAACACACACACTCTCTCTCTCTCTCTCTCTTCCTCTCTCTCTTCCTCTGTGTTCTATCTCTCCCTCTCTGTCTTTCCCTCTCTGTCTTTCCCTCTCTGACTCTCCCTCTCTGACTCTCCCTCTCTCCCTCTCTCTATACTCGTACTCTCTCGGATGACTCCCTTTTTAGAAATACAATAATGATTTTATGAACTAGAGATCTGACCCAGACCCGTCATCCCATGACCCTTGTTCGACTTCGGGAAAACGCACGTTGATGATTCATCTCTTCTGTTTTTTCCTGCATCCCTCGTGGCCCCCCTTCCCCGATAGCGCTGTGTCTCTTGAACGCACATTCATCGATGGCCTAGCAACTCGTTCCTTTCTTTTTCTTCTCTTTTCTCTTCTCTTCCTTTTTGGTTATACTACCCACTTGTACGAGTAACCTACTACTGATGATGAGTTGGACTAATTCCCGAGGAAAATAAGGGGAGTGTGTGTGTGTGTGAGAGAGAGAGAGAGAGAAAGGGAAGAAAAAGAAAGAAAGAAGAAAAGAAGAAGTGAACATGTCCCGGCAGGCAGAGAGACACACACACCAGCCTCTCCGCAGTTCCCAGGTTGGTTCGCAACAAGTGGAGAGAAATCAGGTGAAGATGCCGTACAGTATTCATGGTATCTCATGGTATCATGTATCACGAATTACGACTGCTACGAGTACGAATACGAGTGTAAATCAGGATCCAATCCTTCTTCATCTTCTTCTTTCTGGTCGAGTGTGTATTATATGCAATCTGTGCTCGGTGTTCATCTAATATCAGTACAGGAATAATGCACGTCTTTACGTCTTTACGTCTTTTGGCTCCGTGTATCATCACTCTCCTGCTCTGGTCGGCTATCCTGGTCTCTGCAAATCTCGCTCTACTCTTCTTCTTCTTCTTCTTCTTCTTCTTCTTCTTCTTCTTCCTTTTCCCCCTCTTTTTCTTGTCCTGCCCCCCTTGGCTGTCCTGACCCTTGATAATCTCCACGACTACGTTCCCGTCCCGTCCTCGTCATGGATCAGACCATTCATTCTTGCCAAACATGTATCTTGTTTTACTTGTTCGGACCTTTCTCTTTGCTCTTTCCCTTCTCTTCTTTTCCCCTCTCTCTCTCTCTCTCTCTCTCTCTCCTGTCCTAACCTCTAGTTCGGGGGAGAGAAGAAGAATAGGAAAAGAAAGAAGAGAAAAGAAAAAAGAAGAAGCAGAAGAAGAAAGAGTCAGTAAACATCACCAGATTGAGAGGAAAGATCTCCCGTTCAAGTCCCAACTTTTCTTCTCCTTTTTTCTTCTTTCTTTTTCTTCTGTCTCGCGGTATAGGTCTCCGAAGAATAGCGGGTGAACCCGTCCTTGATGAGTCTCTCTCCCAATCTTGAATGATCTCCCCATTTTCTTTTTGAGAGAAGATAGATAAGAAGAAGTACTATATACTTGTACATGGGATGGGGGTACTGTGATGTTAAACATAATTTATAAAAATATAAAAATATTATATTAAAAAAAAAAAACTTGCTCGTAATGTAATGCATATGCACTCACATTGATAAGATGAGATGAAACTCGATCGTGCCTGAGTTTTGACTTGTCCCGACCCGGTTATGAGAGAATGATATAATTTCCCTCGATGCATGGGAAGCCAACGCCCCCCCCCCCCCCGGCCTTCTCATCTCTCTCTATACATCATCCCTCTCTCTTCCTACACTTGAGGCGACAATCAAAGGTTATAATCCCTGGTCAGAGTTGATGGAAGATCTGCATCGTAACTCGGGGCACTCTATGCAGCTCTCATCACATCACATCCCGTCTATGGTGCAATCATTCATTCCTTTTTTTCTTTCTTTTTTTTCCCCTTCTTTTCTGGTTTCTTGTTTTGATCCCCTCCGTGTCGATACTCTACATCAGTCAATTCTATTGTACAGAGTACATTCCTCTTCTTCTTTTCTTTCCCTCTCTTCTTTTCTTACTTCATCGTCCAATTATATCTATTCACTTGTACTCGTACGCATCGTACGTCGCAGTAATACGGACCATCTTGCTTCCTCTCGTCACAAAAAAGAAAGAAGAAAAGAATAATAGAGGGGAAGCCCAGACGGGGGAAATCTTCCGCTTTCAAAAATTGCTTTGTACGGGACGAATCCTTACATACGTGTCGGTTGACATGATATATTGCCAAGGTATCATGGTTATGGGGGGGGGGGGGGGGGAAAGAAGAAGAAAAAAGAAATGACCAGACGGCAATTCCCTGTAATGCATTCTTTCAATGGATATATACCGAGTACATTGTTACTCACACGAGGCCGATCCTCTCTTCCTCGTAACGTCATACACAATCTTGACCTCCCAATAGCTTCACAGTACCACCAGGAGAAAAGAAGAAAAGGACAGCATCCTCTAAAAGTCAAACTCGGGTCTGAAAATGTCCGGGTCGACGCCGGCGACTGTCTTCTCGGCCAGGTCCCTCCTGCCCATCTGGGTAAAGACCCGGCGTAGGGTATCGTAGAGCGTGCTGCTCCTGTTCTGAGCCGACATCCTGTCGAGCGCCTCATCCACGTTCTGCTCCAGGCCGGCGCCTCCCGCACCCGAGGCGCCGCCGAGGATCTCGTGGGCCTTGGCCCGTCCCGACTTCTCAATCTCCTTGTGCATGTCCAGGGCGGCGAGGAAGTGGCAGGCCGCCTCCTCGTGGCAGTTGATGTTGATGCAGCTCACGCCCAGGTTGTAGCGGGCCCGGACGAAGTTGGGCGCCAGCTGCAGCGCCTGCTCGTAGGCGGCGATGGCCTCCTCGGACCGGCCGCTGTTGGCCAGCGTGGCGCCCAGCCGGTTCCAGAGGAGGTGCACCTGCTCCTGCTGGTTCGTCGAGCCCTGCTCCGACGAGTGCAGCGCCGACTGGAAGCAGTCGACCGCCTTGTCGTACTCCTCGGCGCCGTAGAACAGGACGCCCAGCCCCACCTGCACGTCCGGGTCCATGTGCTCGCCGTCCGGGCTGAGCTGCGCCGCCCGGATGAAGAGCTTCGTCACCTTGTCGTGCAGCTGCTGCCGGTCCGTGAAGCCCATCTCCGACGGCGGGTGCACGTCCTTGGGGTCCAGGATGGACGGGTACTTGGCCGACAGCCAGCGCTCGAGCGTGCGGTACGCCGTGCTGTCGTAGCCCTCGTTGGTGTACGACACCGCCAGCCCCATGAGGGCCGTCAGGTTGTTGGGGTCCAGGGCCACGGCCCGCTCGAGCGCCCGGATCGCCGCCGTCTCCTTCTCGTTCTGCGCCTGCGCCGACCCCAGGTACACCCACGCCTCGACGTGGTCGGGCTTCTGCTGCACCGCCGCCTCGAAGGCGAGCGACGCCAGCGACAGGTTGCCGCCCTCGCGCAGGATCCGCACCCCCTCGTCGAAGGCGTCCTGCTCGTTCCGGAACAGGTTGTCCTCCTCGAACATGTAGCTCTCCACCACCGGGTCGCCGAACCGTCCCCAGTCGCCGAGGCCGTTGAAGTCGGGCATCATGCCGTTGCTCCACGCCGTGTCGAACTGATCGAACAGCTGGTCTTCGTTGACCATGGACCTGGCAGCCGCCGTCTCAGCTTGGATTCCCTTCCAGATGGATTCGAAGTCACCAAACTCATTTGTTTCCGACTGCATCGCCTTGTCAATCTCCTCGAGCTCGCGCGCTCCCGCTGTCGACTCGTCCTGCTCCTGACCCTTGGTCACCTGATCCTTGTCCTGGAGCTCCATCTGCGCAAACTGCTCCTCCCACTTGTGGTCGTCCAGTTCCACCAGCTTGCCCTTGCCCTTGCCTTCGGGCTCGTGCTGCTGCTGGTTCTGCTGCTGGTACGGCTGCTGCTGCCCCACCCCCTGGTACATGGGCTGGAACATGCCCGAGCCGCCGTATCCCATGCTCATGCCCATGCCCATGCCCATGCCCATGCCCATGCCCATGCCCGAGTTCATCATCGGCCGTTGGGGGGCGGCAGCGGGCCCTGACTGGGAGGGGCTCGCTCGCGACGACGACGCCGGTCCGTTAACCTGGTGGAAGCGTGCGAATTCCTCTGCGCTGAAGTGAGTCCCCGGCGGCGGCTTGAAGGCCGACTCCATGCCGGGCTGGTGGTTGAAGTCTTGGGCCCACGAGGGCGACGCCGAGTTGGCCCTCATCTGCATGGGGCTTAGCGGCCCAGGCATGACGGGTTCTTGCTGGAGGTTAGGGCCGCTGTTGAGGAATCCATTGACCATCTTTGGTAGATTCTGATGTTAGCCAAGACGAAAACCTCCACACAGAGGAAATCAGGAGACCCAGTAATCCTCTCCTCTTGTGACGGACGAGAATCCCCGAATTAAACAGAGTACACATGATGGCATGTCGCGGGAACGGGGAACGGGGACCGGGGCCGGGG